TTGTTAAATTAGAACATCACTTACATACATAAATGGTTTAAAGTTTATGCACTTATGGTTATGTTACATTTCGGTTTCTAACATCACTATTACATTTTGTGTGCAGGCTTTGCTCATCCAAATCATGCTAATTGTCAAAGGTTGGTGATCTGTATATTAAAGTAGAAAACACAAAGGTTTGTGAATTAGTGAATGATTACCTGTAGTTTTCTTACAACAGAAGCAGAACACACAGATGGAGAAGAGGAGAACACACACCGGACACACACTGAACAGCAGCGTCCAGCAGAGCACACAGTCAGATACAAGAGGTGGTGTGGGGGTGGTGTTCGAGGGTCCAGAACTGGAAGACACTTGCCCAACCAAACATAAACCATAACCAAAATATATTACTGTTATTCCGTATGTGTATATTCTTCACTGAGAAAGTTAAAGTGCTTCAGAATTACATAATCAATTATATAATAACTAGCAGAAGTGTTTCCTTACATTCCAGAGAGAGACGAGTTGTGCGGTTTCCATAATAGTACACATTTGATGAGAAAATTATGCCTTTTTCATCTTCATTTACCTTATTCTCTTGTTCTGCACAGTAGTACAGTCCCAGATCAGAGACACTAATATTAGTAATATGTAGATCATAAGAGTTGTTGTAGCGGTTGTAGATAGAGCTAAAACGCTGAAATATCTTCAGTTCCCATTTCGTAAAATCTATTATGAGAGACGGTTGATTTTCATGAGAGCAGTTTCTTATCCATACAATGAGGGAACCATGACTAAAAGAGCGATCACAGTAGAGAGTGATGTTGTCTCCTGGTCTGACTTTCATCTCCACTTCTTCTCCATAGATTCTTGTCTGATGGAACAGTAAAACTATAAAAGAACAAAACAACTTTATAAACGCTTCAAATTGTACTATTATATAAAAAATATGCACAGTATTGACATTTCGTTTAAAAAACAGCTGAAGAAGTATAATTTTTCTTACACATAAGCACAATGAGAGCAAGTCTTGACCTCTCCATCTTAGTGAGCGATTGTGAATAACTGACACTGGTGAGGGTCTCAATGTAGACGTCAGATCTCATCTGATTGGTTCACGTCAGCGGAAAGTTTTACCTAAAGCAGCCCGCGTCATGAGGGGTTGGCAGTAGACTGAGTTGTTGTTTGGACGTACAAAGAGTGAGAGCAGTTTTAATCAGTCACCAGTTACCGTATAGACATTTTTTTCCTATTTGGCTTTGTGGTCAGCCACCTGATTGCTTCAAATTGGAAATGTTCAAGATTAGTTTATCTGATAGACATTTTTAGCAATATCTTTTATTCAAACTTGCAGATAAGCATAAAAATAAAATACAAATATAAATAAGGTGCTTTACATTTAACATGCAATCAACCAGTCAGTTCATGCCTGTCATGAGTGTCTAGTCTTTTGAATCAAAGTTCACCTGCAAAATTCATTCTTTGTTTTATTGTAATAGGTTCAGTTCAACATCTAAACATGTAAAAACAGGAAACCCACAAGCCTTTTCTTCAGACCGCTTACAAACACTTCACATTTGCAACACGTCATGAGACTCTCTCTTCACATCTCTTAGTTGATCATTGGTCAGCAGGCACAAATGTTTCCATTACCTTTGTGGGGTTTTGTGTGTTGCTTAGAATGCATGTATTTGCACAAGGGAAGCTTGCTAAAATCACCGTGTCTAATGCTCTATACTGTGGTTAAACAGACACTGACGGCTGTCCATCAAGCTAAAATCAGCTATATTAAATTATGAGACAATGCAATTCAACAAAACACAAGTGAAGATCAATAAATCATGTCCAACTACAAAATATAAAGAAAAGTGCAATGTTAGCAAGACTAACTGGTCCTTATGGGTAAAATAGGTCTATGGGAGTATAAAAACAGCAGTTTTTTTATATTGAAAGGGAGTGAAGAACCATGCATATGTCCCATACGTCATATGGTCAAACTTATGCTAGACAGTAAATTAAAGAAAGCAAATGCTTTCAAATATTTGATATGTGATTCGAATGAACATGTGGTGTAAATTGGACAATATTTCACAGGGTGCTAATACAGATGTGGCTTTTCTTAATACTTCCTCAACAAACAGGAAGCACAACCACATATAGGCCTACTTCATGTATCAGAAATGACGCAGATGTCTGTTGTTCAGAGTGTTCAGCACTGGGAGCTGTCCAGTGTGCTGAATCTCTTCTGAAAAAAAAATCTATGTGATTAAATATGATGAGAAATAGGAAAAGGATAGTTAAAATTCCGTCAGGTACTCATCCTTATGTCACTCCAAATGACTATAAAATGATCAGTAGTTCATATTAATGGGATGCATTCCATGTTTCAAAATCCAAATATAGCTGCAAGCAGGGATGATGGGCCCAAGCCCCAGTGCCACGCCGGTGGCATCAGGAAAACAGTGAACAGCGGCCACATACATTTAACCCACAGCAATGAAAGGGTTACTCTAGAATATCAGGAGTGTGAAACAGATACACGCAAGGAAAGGTAAGATGTATAAAACTTTTAATGACCTATAAGAATGTTTAAATTATTTTAATGGTCTATAAGCATTTGTGAAATATTTATATTAGGGCTGTCAATAGATTACAATTTTTGATCAAATGAATCACACCCTCTTTCTGTGATTAATCGTGAATAATCACACACTTCATTTATACTTCACTCCATTTATCTTGTTTCAAATGTTTATTTTGTCCTTATTTGCTAAATCCAGCGAAGTAAACCAAAAGATTGAAGGGTGATTCTCAAAAATCTGTATTTTCTGCAAGCTTTTTTCAAGCTACATTTAGATGTCTTTCCAAAAAAGAAACAAATGACACAAGGAGCCCATATAAGCACATATGAAATTTAATTAAAAAAAAATTAGCAAACAAAACTCAGAATTGTCTAGTATATGTACAGTGCAACAGCAAAGAGCTTTTTTACATTTTAGAGAAGTCAAGTTGCGATACCGAACAGGACCACATGGAGATGCGAAAAAAAACTAAACCAACCGCCTGCTGACTGCATATATCTACTACAGTACACGGATCCATTCAGAATAACTAAACACAGCAACATTCACATGACAAATCAAAACATTACCGTGAATGTGTGTGGAAACAATATGAATGTACGGAAATGTCTGTGCCTGTGCATAAATACAATGTGCGATCAGTGCACCAAGAGCAGTCATACACGCATTAATATAACGGACTCACACGTGCTTACTGTAGGCTACGACTCCTGTACGCCACCACAATCGTCTTTACCTTGATTGCAGTCTTCTTCCATCAAAACTTCACTAGCGAGAGTGGTTATCAAGTCAAGAAAACGTAGTTTGCGTCTCATCTGGCCATGCAACGGTGGGATGTGTTGACATTCCGTTCAGTCTGTACTTCACACAGCGCGACGTGTGAGGACTCGCGCTATTCATAGACAATCACAGAATTGAAATTCAAAGCGAAACACACTGGAATAATTCACTTAAAACGCAGCGCGAGTCTCTCTTCCCTCTGCAATCTCTGATGTAATCAGCCTGGTTTCCTTTGTATTAGTGCTGTTTTGGACGGATTGTTTGAATGCATTCGCTTACTGGATCATTGGACTGAAAACTTTTCCGGAGTTTAGCAGCTTAAAATGAACTGATCGCAAACAGAGAAGCAAAATTTGGTTAAAGGTTTAGAATAGAAATTGTGCTTCAGTAATTTTGCTTTAATTGCGTAAAATAATTTTAACACGTTAAGGATTGTAAAATTAATCGCATGCGTTAACACATTAACGTTGACAGCCCTAATTTATATAAAACTATATTGACAGTACAGTACATATCAACTGATTCTATGCCTTTATTTGTCAATCTAACTGATATAAACTAAAAAATAAAATAAATACATAATAAAATAAATGAAATAAAAAATTATTTTAACACGTTAAGGATTGTAAAATTAATCGCATGCGTTAACACATTAACGTGGACAGCCCTAATTTATATAAAACTATATTGACAGTACAGTACATATCAACTGATTCTATGCCTTTATTTGTCATTTTAACTGATATAAACTGAGAAGATAAAAATCAGGCTTAAAAGATTTCTTATTCTATCCTCCATCTAGTGATGTGACATGTGGCCAAGTATGGTGACCCATACATGGAATTAGTGCTCTGCATTTAACCCATCCAAAGTGCACACACACAGCAGTGAATACACACACACCGTGAACACACACCCGGAGCAGTGGGCAGCCATTTATGCTGTGGCGCCCGGGGAGCAGTTGGGGGTTCAGTGCCTTGCTCAAGGGCACCTCAGTCGTGGTATTGAAGGTGGGAGAGAGCACTGTAAATTCCCTCCCCCACCTACAATCCCTGCCGGTACGAGACTTGAACCTGCAACCTTTGGGTTATGAGTCCAACTCTCTAACCATTAGGCCACGACTTCCCCAAATAGTGGACAACATTGGTATTACAGCCATCATCTTGAAATGTTTTGAAATGTCTAATTGTTTATAATTTGCTGTTGGCCCCCAGAGTTTGGACAAAGCACTTTCAAGATATGACTATTCCTGTTTCCTTTCTTTTTTCTTTTTTTTCTTTCTTTATTTTAATAAATCTCCATAGTAACATCATTTAAGATATTCAAGAACCATTTTAAATGTAGGTTCCTCAATGTTTATGTCACGATCTTCAGCTGGAGTACCTATGAACTCCACCAGACGGCACTCCACCCCTGACTCTTGCCACTCTCACTAACTACATTCCCCATAATCCTTTGCCGGACTCACCATCACTGATTGCATTCACCTGTGTCTTGTTACCTCATCTGTCCGACCCTATTTAAAGCTTGGTTTTTCATTCATTCGAGGCTCAGCATTGTCTAGCCTGTAGCATCCCCTAGTTCATGTGTTCCTTGTGGCATTATGGCCTTGTTGCCTTGCCTTTGACCCTGGACTGTTTCTGATTTCTTATTGTTTGCTGCCTGCCCTGACCTTCACCTGTTTTGTGGATTACTCCTTTGTCTCACCCTGAGTTATACCTGTTTGCTATTGTTTGACCCTGCCTGTTTTAACCATGATTTTAATAAAAGCCTGCACTTGGATTCACTACTGTGTTGTTACGCCTCTCAACGTTACAGTTTTGGCATCATGTAGATGAAGTTTGGTGTGAATTGCATGATTGCCCTAGAAGGAGTGTGCAATAATTCACAGCCTTGTGCTGCTTGATGAGAACAATATATGTACCAAGTCTGGTGACTGCAGCTAAAACTAACCCCCCCTTTTTGTCAAAAGGTGGTGTTATAGAGCATATCATTACATAAATTATCATTACATAAATTACATTATTTGAGAAAATAGAAATCAATACTTACATTTAAAAGTGTAATCCAGCAATTTCTCTCAAATAAAGCCTGTCGTCACCGGCACGCAATGAATTCTAGGGTAGGGAAGCATGCGAAGGGTCCATCTGTTGTAGCTTTCGTTGCAAGTGAAATGAGGGGCACATTTGGAGGCCGCAATTGAAGGAGCCTTCGAATTGGGACAGTCTTCGTTGCACCGCGGTGACACAATCTGCTTTTAATTGCGCCCTTTGAAGAACGCAGCCTTTGAATTGGGAAGCAGCTAATGAATGCTGAAGTTAAAACACACTTCCTGTTTTTCACTTCTTTCACTGTCGTCGCTCCTCCTTTTATCCTTCCGGAGTTCCTCCGTGGGACTCAAGACCGGTGAGTGGTGCAGGTGTCGCTCATTATCAATTACTCCACCGGCCTCGCTCCGTTCCCACGGCTCTCGGCCCCGCCCCCACTCGTCACAGATACTCATCCATCAGAGGGTATAAAGAAAGTCTGCAGCTGCAAAACAAGCCTTTGCAGACATTGAAAGCATAAAAACCGAATTCACCACAAACTCACCGCATAAACATTTACAGACACAAACCAACCTCGGTCCTTTCTACTTCTGTCTCATATGCAAACAAGCATTAAACTGAATGGAAACATTTGTGGTTAAGATGGTTATCTTTTTAAACAAGAATAAGACAAGGCCTATCTTTGAGAGAGAACAA